CCCCCCCCCCCCCCCCCCGCAAGGCTGGGGCTACCGCTGCAGGTGAAGATGGAGCCACAGCGACCAGGGGACAGCCAGTCAGGTGGAAACGTCCCTGCAGGGAGGTCGCCACTGCCCCTGCCTCCCTCCTGCCATGCTGCTCCTCTGCGGCAGAGAGGCAGAGGAAGCCCCGCTTACATGCAAGGTTATTCCGTCTTTGCTGCCTTTCAACATGATGGCCCTGAAAGGAAACGCAGGACGCGGGCCACGTGAGCAGGAGCCGTGGGGCTGCGGACTGGCCGCCCGTCCCACTGACAGCCCTCTGCTGGGAGGCCGGCAGGCTGTGCTGGCGGGGGAGCCTGGCTCAAGGTCACGCCACTTGTCCCAGGGCTTAGGAGCCATGCTCCGTAGCTCTTACGCTGGGACCCAGTGCTAGAAGCGGGGACTCCATGATTTCTGCTTTCAGAAAGCAGGGGAAATGCTCGAACGCCAGAAGAGCTCACTGACCCCGGGCGGAGATTAAGGGAATAGAGGCGCCCAGAGGATGTCTCCATTGGCTGGGAAACACAGCTCGGTCAGACAAAGAGCATCCTCTCAGCCAAGGAGCGGAATCAGCTCAGGAGCAGGGAGGACGATTCCTGCAGCCTCAGACCGCTCTCAGCAAACCTCAGTCCTTATACAGGAGGGTCCAAGCGGCAGAGCCCAGATAGTGTGCAGACACAGCTGCCCCTGCAGTGAAGGCAGCTCAGCGAGGCATCCCTGCCTGGTCACCGGGGAGGGGCCAGGACCCAGGACCCAGGAGATTGGAGGCAGGACAGCCCAGCCCAGCACTCCCTCCTGGTCACCTGGAGAGGGGCCAGCCAACCGGGGTTCTCCAGGGCTGCAGTGCTGCACCTGGAAAGGGACCCGGCTGGAACCAGGGGTCCCCTAACATGGGGAAAACACCAAGTGAGGGTTGCCCCCTTCAGGGCAAGGCTGAACTCTTGGGGTAGCCCAGGAGACCAGCCAGTGTTCCGCTGGCAGCCCTGTGCTCACAGGGGGCGAGCCACTGTTTATGGTAGGAGGGGCCCGGGGCCCC